CGCACGTGTCAACAAAAAATAAAAATTACCGCCAGCACCTCCCTCACATCCATAGGAATGGTTGGGTAAACCTTGGACTTGTTGTACATTGACCATGCAGATCCTTTTATGGGTTCAGTATTCTTAGTCATTGTAATCACCCAGTCAAAGTGGCTGGACATTCACAGGGTCTATTCGTCAAACACTGGGATGACCATAGAAAAATTGCACACATCTTTGGCAACACAAGGAGTCCCAGAAGTGTGGGTCACAGATAACCATTGTGTACCAGCAGGGAATTTGGTTATTTCTTAAATTAAATGGCATTCAACACATTAGGACAGTTCCATATCACCCTTAATCCAATGGCCTGGCAGATAGAGCAGGTCCAACCTATGCAGGATGGGTTGAGGCAACAGCTTTCAGACTTGCTAGATACCAAGCTGGCATGTTCTTATTTGATTATAGAACATCCCCAAATAAACCACAGGGATAGTACAGTTTGATACAGGGGATAAAGGCTAGTGTTAGAATTATGGAAATGGCCCCACATGGGCAAGAGGCATGGTCGACGCAAGATCAAGACCAGTGACATATGAAGCTTGGGTAGGTGCGACAGTTCAGAATAAGCAGGTAGATCATATAAAAGCCGCAAATTCTCAAATGGTGCAGGAACAGAATACGCCCTGCTGCTCAGAATCATTGGAAATGCTGCCAGAACTCATGAATTCACCCTCTCAGTCAAATGTTGTTGAGTTCTCTGAATCAGGACATGACAGAATTAGCCACCTGATGTCTTTGCTCCCAGAACAACAGTGACATTCCACCAAAGTGCTCTTGATGCAAAAGGTGAGCTCCCATGTATTACATATTATCCATGTCAGACACTGAATCAGAGGAACCTGACTCAGTGCTAAAACACTCCAGCAGGCTCTCCAAGTGAAAAAAAAGATTGGCCTATGTCTGCAGACTTAAAGGGGGAGCGTTGCAGTGATTGTAATGAGGACAGCCAGCTGGATCTCATGGGTTCCCTGACTGAGGCTGTTAATCTGGTCCAATCAGGGAGCTCTGGCTGACATATCAAAATGTTGAGTGTCAGAAGTATTGCTGCTCTAGTACTTGAATCTGTAATAGGCAGTACTATAGTAGAGAACTGTTCCTGTGTAAATAAAGGGTGACTTGGTGATGGCATACTGGCCTCTATGGAGTTATTTCAGTCAGGGCACTAGGGTCAGTTCTGTCATTCGAATCAAAGTAGGTTTATTTGCATTAGCCAATTTAAAATATGCATTTGGAGGTCTAATACGGGAGAGAGAGGAGTAAACAACTGCAGCAGTTCTTAAAGACTTTTGCACTGTGTGTATGCTATGTATGTGATAAACACAAAGATCACAACATAATGCTGAGCAACTTGTCCAATCCTCTCATCTTTCACGCCCACATCAAAAATGCAATACTAGTTTGTTAGTAAATAAAATTCAAGATTTCTGTTTGCTCATAGAAGTGATTATTCATCTACAAACAACAATTTACAAACTTTTAATACAGTGAAATATCTTAAGGTTCACCGCACTGGTTTTTAACAAGAAAAAAAAGACTGACATCCAGTTACACAAGGAAAGATTAAGACAGCCAACAAAATTGGAGGTGTTTAAGGAAGGAATTCTAGTGTTCAAGGCCAAACTAGCTGAACACATAGCCACAAGTGGTGAATTGATTAAAATCATGGATACACCAAGGCTACAACTGGACAAGCATAGAGGTTGTAGGGTTTAGAGGTTACATGATTAGGCTGGTTGAGATGAGTTTTTAAATGACAAATCCAATAGCTTCATGATAATCTTTACCAATTACTGATTTTTATTTGTGTAAATTCAAATTCACAAGTTTCCAGTGATCTCTAGATTATTAATCCAATCCCTGGATTAATAGTTGAGTAAACAGAGCCACTAGGCAACTTTCCTCTAAGTATTTTTAATCACCTCTGTTTACATATGTTGACACGTCTTTGAACAGGTGGGATTTAAACTCAGATTGGCTGGCTCAGAAGTAGAGATGCTACTATTGGTCCACAAGACTGTAAACAAGTGAACTGTCAATACAAACACTACTTCCTAGTGTTAACTTTTTATTTTAAATTCACTATTGGGATTTGGACATCACTGTCATTTATCGTGGTTGGTTCACTTGCCGAGATGGTTCGTTAGGTAGCAGACGTTTCATTACCCTGCTGGGTAACATCATCAATGCAGCCTCCAATGAAGCGCTGTTGTGTTTCCCCGCCTGGTATTTAAACTCTGGGGTCCATTGGAATCGGTTATCTCATTTCTGTTTTTTCTTCGCAGTGGTGTATATATTGGGTCTAATTCTGCGTGTTTATTGTTGGCTTTCTTGGTGGAGAACGAGCCTCTAGAAATTCTTGCGCTTATCTCTGTTTGGCCTGTCTTAGGATCTTGATGTTGTCCCAATCAAACTGGTGATTCTCCTCATCCGTGTGAAGAGAGATGAATGAGTACTGGTCATGTTTTTTTGTTGCTAGTTGGTATTCATGTATTCTTGTGGCCAGTTTCCTTCCTGTCTGTTCAATGTAATAGGTCTGACAATGCCTATCACACAAACAACAACAGGAAGATACAGTACACCTTGACACAATCGTCACATTACCATACATCAAGAACATATCCGAACCGACCACAAGACTCCTATGACCATTGGGCATCAGAGCGGCACACAAACCTACGTCAACTCTACACCGATTGCGAACTCAAACTAAAGGCCCCTTACCCACTATGGACAGAACCAATGTGATATACAAGATCCCATGTAAAGACTGTGACAAACAGGAAGGAAACTGGCCATAAGAATACATGAACACTAACTAGCAAACAAAAAGACATGACCATTACTCACTCGTCTCCATTCACACGGATGAGGAAAACCACCAGTTCAACTGAGACAACATCAAGATTCTTGGACAGGCCAAAGAGACAAGCACAGGAATTTCTAGAGGCTTCGTTCTCCACCAAGAAAGCCATCAATAAACACGTAGAATTAGACCCTATATATACACACCACTGCGAAGAAAAACCAGAAATGAGGTAACCGATTCCAGTGGACCCCAGATTTTAAATACCAGGCAGGAAAACACAACAGTGCAGCCTCCGATGAAGCGCTGATGATGTTACCCAGCAGGGTAATGAAATGCCAACGATCTAACAAACCAACCACAGCATCCACAATCTGAGCTACAAATCTACTCAAGAACATTAGACTATCATTTATTGCAAATCCATAGTAGCCCTGGAGAAGGTGGTGGGGAGCTGTCTTCTTTAACTGCTACTGTCCATTTGGTGTAGGTAGACACACAATGCTATTTAGGGAGAGAGTTCCAGCATACTGAATCAGTGACACTGAAGGAACTGTGATATATTTCTAAGTCAGGCTGGAGACTGACTTGAAGGCAAACATTGAGATGGTGCTGTTCCCAAGTATTGCTACCCTTATCCTTCTGGATGGTGGTGGTCACAGGTTTGGAAGGTGTTGCCCAAAAAGCCTTAGTGAATTTCTACACTGCATCATTTAGATGGTACACACTGTTACTACTGAGACTTGGTGGTGGAGGTGTTGAGTCCTTATAAATGTGCTGCCAATTAAGCGAGCTGCTTTGTCCTGGGGTAGGGTAGTCAAGCTTCTTGGTTAGTATTGGTGCTGTACCTCATTCAGGCAAGTGAGGAGTATTCCATCACACTCCTGATACGTGCATTATAGATGGATGGACCGACTTTGCGAGTTAGGAGAGGAGATACACGCTGTAGGATTTTTACATAAATAGCAGATTTATGATTTGCTTTTTTTTTAAGAAAAAGAAAACTTACCATAACCAGTACAAGAGAACCTGAATTAAGGGTCAACAACTTAGATGTATACTGCCTCACAGAAGTTTAGGAGGTGCATGCTAATTAAGCGTCAATCAACTAAATAAGAGGCCCTGGAGAATCTAAGAGAGGAAGTGTGTAGTTTTGTGCCAGCCCAACAAGGCAAATGACCATTCAAATCGACTATCATTTTTCTTTTTGTATCACCTAATACAAAGGAACCAAGTAACTTGTAAGTAGTGGATGAGTACGTAAAATGCCAGGGCATATTAGGCTATGAACCAAGTGCAGGTAAACGGGTTTAGTGTAATTAGACGTTTGTTGGTCGGCATAGACATGGTAGGCTGTATGACTCTATGACTCATTTTTTCTTGAAAGGCACCATAGTAGTGTGGAATGTGTATCTTGAGTTCCAAGATGTTTAAGCATTGTAACTACACAAATTTACCACATAAATGCACTCTATTCAATCTAGAGGAATACCGTCAGGAAGGAGATACAGACACCAGTTGGAGGAAAAAGTGAAGATTGGAAAAGGTGTAGAGTTTCTACAGGACAGTTATGATCAGATGGGAACTGTTCTAGGACTGAACCAGAGTGTGACATTTGCATAGATATTTACCCAGGCTATATTGTTTTAAAGAACAGAATATGACTGTTATTCAAACCAGGACTTTGTGCTAATAATATCAAAATTTAAAAACAATTGCACATTCAGCTCTAAAAAATGTACGCGGCACGAACCCACATTGTTTCCTGGTAGCCACTGATTGCATGATAAACATGCAGCAATTACTTCAACTAAAATTTCAGCATTCAGTCATACTGAGCTAACTATACAATCATTTAGATCTACTGGAATCAAAATTAGATTTTTTAAAAATCCATTGTGTTACAAAATCAAATACATGACAGTGTTTTCAGAACAATAAACTTAATTCCATCTTCAGGTTACCTACATGAAAATTTACAGTGAAGGTACAGGACAACACTGGTATTAACCACTCTGATTACAGCCTTATCCTATGTTAATCAAACACATTTTCTCTGTATAAATGCGGTAAATAACATTAATTTTTAAAGGAAATGTTTCCAGTTAAGTCATTTCATTTCTGTTATCTACAAGAATCTCAAAATCACAATAGGTTGTGAGTCACTCATCTCCTTTAATGCAAGTCAGATTCTTAAGGACAAGTAACCCTGCCATAAAAATGAGATCCATGCTGAGGCCACAGCTATTGATAAGCAGTATCAGGGTTGAGGGAAATTAATATATGATAGCTTTACTGATGACACCAAGACAGATAGAAAACTAGAAAACAAGAAAACAAGAAAACAAGAGATATAGAAACGTTAAAAGCATGGAAAGATTTGGCAGATGAAAAATAAAGTGGAACTTGTGAACTTGTCTACTTTGACAGGAAGAATTAAACAGCAGTATACTATTTCAAAATGGAGGGAGAGTGCAGCATTTGATACAGAGGGATCTAGACATATTTGATCACAAAGTGTTAATAATTAGGCTTAGCAAAAGATTAGGAAGGCAAATGGAATGCTGGGGTTTACTGCAGCATATACAGGTGTACAATTTTACTGTAGCTGTACAGAGCCTCTATTAGATCACATCTGGAATACACATTTAGTCTCCATTATTTGAAAAATATGCAATTGCATGAGAGGCATTTCAGACAGTTCATTTACATCATTCCTGGGATAAGGAGCTTATTTTACGCAGATCAGAAGAATAAAAGGTGATGTCATTGAAAGATATAATGATCCTGATGGCCCTAAAAGGTTAAAAAAAGATGTTTCAACTTGTGGGAAAAACTGAACTAGCAAACAGTTTAACACCAAAGAGGTCTCTGTTTATAAGACACAAATGTTTTCTTTGAGGTCATTAGCATTAAAATCCTCTCCTCCAGAAGGTAGTGGAGGTTGGATCATAGAATTTATTCAAGACAGAGTTAGATAAATTCTTGATCAACAAAGGGCAAATGAGTAACTGCAGTTGTGATACCAACTGTAATCAGCTGAACATTGGAGCAGTTTGAAGGACTGAATGGCCTACTTCTGCTCTTAAGCCTTATCTTCCTCTATATAAAACTGAAAAATGCTTGAAACGTTCAATTTATACAGGATCTCCCTTGCTTCCTTATTCACTCATGGGACAAGGGCATCACTGGCAAGGTATCGCCCATCCCTAGTTGTCCTTGAGAAGGTGGTGGTGAGGTGCCTTCTTGAATTGCTGCTGTCTACATGATTTAGGTAGGTTCACTATGCCAGTAGGGAGAGAACGCCAGGATTTTTATGGAGCAATACTGAAGGAACTGCGATATATTTCCAAGTCAAGATGGCAAGTGACTTGGAGAGGAACTTGCAGGTGGTGGTGTTTCCGTGTATCCACAGCCCTTCCCTTTTTATATGGTAGTATCTGTGGGTTTAGAAACTGCTATCTAAGGACCTTTGGTGAATTTCTTCAGAGTATCTTTTATACGGCACACAGTGCTGTTACTGCACAAGTGGTGGAGGGAGTGGATATGGTGCCAATAACGTGGGCTGCACTATTTGCCAGCTTTCCTTCTTCCTAGCCTGTCAACAAAATTGAATCAACAAAATTGAGCTCAACATGTTCCTAAATTTTAAGAATACAAAAGGGAACAAACTAAATCAAACGTCCAACTCTACCACCATAAAACAGTGTAACATCATTTGAAATTTATTTTCGATTTAAACAAGACTAACTGCCCATCTTCACTTCAAACCTTGTAAATTACATAGCAGTCCATTTTTTGCCATTAGTTGCAGAAGGTAGCATGCAATTTTTAACATTATTCCCCAAAATGTACACCTTTCATAAAGATGTCATAACTAAATTTCAAATTAGTCACTGGATACCAACACAAATTTACAATTAACAGCCACCATGGCAATTATACTATTTACAGGTTTATTACAGTGTCAAGTAATTGGTACAAATCTAGATCATTGTATGTGCAATAACGTTAAATAGATACACATTATTCAGTACATGTACCTTTCGCAGAAATTAAATTGCAAAGAAATCTCAAGAAGCAAAAAGACTAGAAATTTAAAATCTACCTCACACTTTGATCAGGATAACCTAGTTTGCTCGGTTCTATTTTTAAAGGTTTACTTCATGCTTTGATGCTAAAGCAGGTATGAATAAACTAAAAAGGTCTGAACTTGCTTTATCACGGCAATTATACCGGTTGAATTGAAAACACACAGTATTTTTATTTTCTTGTCACTTCCAATTCAAACTTTGGTCTTTTATTTAAATCTTTCATTCTAATGAATTGGAGAAGGAACATACTTTTACTCCTACCAACTCCCCTAAATAAAAGGCAACCCAACTGAAAATTGTTACCTATTTTAAATCTTTCCAAATTGCATTTTATGCCAAATCCAAAACCATGAAAATTTTGTAGCAACATCATAATTGCCACTCAAATGGTTGTTTTCACAGTCTGGTTAAGGTTTTCATTTTAAATGTTTGAACATATGCAATTACAGCTTGGTTTTGATGCATGCCACTATAGGTAAATTTCCCTTTAAGAACCAATAAAATAAATGTTTACAAAACTGCATCACATCATTTCAAAATAATGACACACCACTGCATATATTATCTCCATCACAGACTGCCTGGTAAAAAGATCAAATTACAGAACATGCAATTGTAGTCTGTCTATTCTTTGGGTGACAGCCATGACTAGTAATGAGCATTATTCTACCTTAAGACAATTATTAATTTTATGTTTTAATTTCAAAAAATTTACGATTCTCCTATCACAACTTAATGTTTTGACGGTCAACAATATTACTCAAGGCATAAATAGTTAACTTGCCAATTATGTTACTTCAGATCCAGAGCCACTAATTTTATTAAACTAGAACACTAAATGAACTCAGGTATTTATTTTTAAAATAGTTAGGATAACAATCAATCTAGCTGTTAGCAAAAAAAAAGCATTAAGTATCGTGTGAGCTATTTTCCACTCCTTCAGCCAACAAGTGGTTTACACTAGAAATTATTTTTTCTAGGTATACAAATAGTTGCTAAAATGTATAGAATGTAAATTATATTTTGTAATATTAAGAATAATTTAACGATATTAATAATTTCAAACTTCTAGAGATGTGTCTAAATACAAGAACTGCTAATAAATTGCTTACTACAAGATGTATCAAATAAATCTGTGAGCACCAAGCTACTTTTGACTTGTCATTACAAATCATCATTGTTAGTGTAATGGGTATGGTCACTGGGCCAGTAATCCTGAATCTGAAGCAATTACTATAGGGACATGTGCTTAAATCCAAGCAAGGCAGAGGGTGAAACTTTGAATTCAATCAAATCTGGAATTTAAAAAGCTAGTCTAATGGTGACCATTTAAAACCTTTATCAGGAGTTTATTAATATCCTTGGGATAAGAAAATGTGCCATTCTTACCTGGTTTGGCCTGCATGTGACTCCAGACCACAGAAATGGGGGTGATTATGAAATGACCTCTGAAGTGGCCCGAAGAGCCATACAATGCAAGGGGAATTAGGGAAAGGCACCAAATGCCACCATTCCTAACAATGCCTTCTTCCCATGCAAGAACATAAAACATAATTTGTCAAAAAAATCTGGAAGTTTAAAGAAGCCTCCAAAAATGTTAAGATGTTTTAGAGATCAGCTTGCAATTGATACCAAAGCTCAGAATTTAGTATGTGGTACGCAGAAGTCACCAAATACAGAATGTCAATCAAATTTCCTTCTGAAGAAATTAAGGCTTTAATTAAATTACAAGCTCGGGGGATCTCAATCCACATACATATACTTCACCTTGAAGAAAATATACCATTCAATGATACGTTAGGTGATAAAAAATTACCATACAAATTAAGGTCATATAGATAAAAAATATCACAGCAAGGCATTAGTTTAAGATTTATGGCAGAAATTATAAATTATACAGGTACAAACTGCATTTTTAAGCAAGTTATTTAAACATCATATTCAATAATTTATGGTTTTTAAGTGAGGTACAAAATCATTCATTTAAAAAAAAATCAGGGTACTTTAGGGTGGACTATTATTAAAGTGCTTAATACCTCGCAGGTCTTTACGTGATGAAGCTGTCAATTTTCTCCAGAAGGTTTTCGGCCATCTTGAAAAGTCTGTTAACAGGGATTAAAATTAGAAATTACAGGAAATAACAGCCCCCAAACCAAATATGTTAACAACTGGTCACAGAGATAACATTTTTTTTATCCTAAGCCCCCTTCCAAACATTACAATTCAGGGCGACTAGCAATACCGTATTACAAACAATAGGGACAAACTTCCCTTCGTCAATTCCTTTTCAAATCTTTGTATTTTCACTTATTCATAGAGTACCAGTGTGCGAAACAGAAATTCCTAGAAACATTAACCCAAATTTTTGAAGTACTCTACTTTTGGTCCACTAATTAAGGGAGATTCAGTGACTGAGTGGTTAATGAATTTCACCCAGATTCTTTAAGCTTTGCAAATAAAACACTGTTAAACAAAAACACGCAACTGTTTCCATCTTAAGTAAGATGTATGGAGGTCAAGGGTTCAAATATTCTATAAACAGAGGGTCAGATTGTGAAAGATAATCCTAAACCCAAGGTTGAAAGATCTTCGTTAAGAATTTATTATACTATGGGATTAAATTTGTACACTTCATTTGTCTGTAATGTTCATGAAATAACTACATTTCATCATGCAAGTTATGACTTAAACAAGATAAAGAAAAGTGCAATAAATTCAGTTTCTTCAATTTTAAAGAAGATATGGACCTTGTTTGAGTCTCATCACAGCACCCAATCTATCATCTCTCATGGCCAAACGATGACTAAGTGTACACACGTACTTCTAAAGATACAAGTACACAGTTACAAATGGGAAGGTTTTACAGAAAACATTTAATTATCCAGCATCTATGGGACTAGGAGTGTGCCGATTGATTAATTATTCCAGATAATCAAGAGGTCCGCATAAACTAGTGTAAAAACACACACTAAGTAATAGAAGCATAATACAGGGGTATACACATCACCTGTTGTTATACTTTTACAGCAGAAATCACAAACAATAATCCAATTTTGCCTTAAATAAAAAAAAACTTACCAGTAGACAGCCTTCTTACTCACACCCTCAAATGGCTACTTGGACATTGCAGAACATCCCACTTTTTAGAGAAGAAATTGACTTGAAATTGAACCAATTGTTGTTATTTCGTGTGGCTGTTCAATTGAACAAGTATATTTACATCAAGGTAAGTTAATGGAAAGACTTTAATAATGGGCCAGAATAATGTGTTTGAGGGAAATAACTTTTGCCAGTTTATTACAAGTGCTGGTCCATTAGATGCCAATTAAAACAAAGTTTGTTTTATTATAGTTCAGGACTGTGTCTTTATTTTAGCAATGGAGGTGTGGAGTAGGATTTAACAGGAAAAACAAGAAGAGATCTGTTGAGAGGTAAGCAATGATAAAAAGACATTGCAGGATTGACTTGCTAGGTATTTTCTTTAAAAAAAAATCACTGCATCTCTCAAGGATCATTATTCTCCCAGATTCTGAAAGATAGCCAAGAGACAGAGGTTGTAAGTCTCTTTCATTACCATGCAAAAATGTGGAAGGGTCCTCATGCTCAGGTTGAAGATATACTGTTCATAACAATTTAAATGGGACTGGCAGATATGACCAGCTTTGGCCAAAAGAAAGAATTCAAGGATTAGAATTTATCTGGCTACAAAAACAAAAGTGAATAAAGCCCTCAGAAGCAGAGAAAAATATTGGGCTAGTTCCAGCAGAATAAATGTCTCCTTAAAGGACAAAATAAAGTATAGCTGCAGAGGAAGACATGGTCATAATTCAGTATTAAGAAAGGACTTTTTCTGTAGTTTAAAGTATAAGTTATAAGTATAAGTACAAGTGTCGAGTTAACATTGCTTTTAGTTTGTTTGTTACAGCAAAATACTTAAAACATGAAAACTTAAGCAATTCCTTCAGATTAGTCACTGGGAATTTGTATTTCATTTGAAAAGCTTTCATTTTACACTGGGTTCAAAACACCCTCTACAAAAGTCGTTGCCAAATTCAAGCTAAATGTCAGTCAATCTTCAAGGGTTGGTTAGCTCAGTTGGCTGGTTGGCTAATTTGTGATACAGAGTGACACCAACAGTGTGAGTCCAATTCCCATATTAGCTGAGGTTACCGCAAAGTTCCCTCCTTCTCCATCTCACCCCTTTCAAGGCATTGTTCCCCAAGGTTAAAGCACCAGGAGTCTAATGAGACAGCAGCCCTATGGTCCTCTGGGTCTATGGCAACTTCACCTTTACCCAATTAACGTAGCAGCCTTCAACCAGCAACTGCACTACACTACAGAATCTGGAGGATCAAATATATATTTTGCAAACAAAAAATGTTTTAATTACATTATGGCCAGTGAGCTGCAAACACATTTTTCTCCATGTTAGGCCATCTAGTGTACTACTAAAAATGAAAGGTCCAGAAGACCATATATGCATGATTAGTCAAAAACAATTTGATATACATGAAGAGATTCCCCATTGCAGTACTCAGTGATAATGTTCTGTGCTTTACGTGCACGTTTAGTGAAATAAGTTATACAAGGCACATTATATTAGAACCAGTAATTTAAATGATTGAATAAGTTATGTTGTGCTTCTATTGCAGAGTGTTGTTGGGGTGTTAATATCCTCCAGATCAAATTCTATGATTGTTTATGTGTGTTGAAACTTAATCTACAGCCTTGATTGCCACTATAAACATAATATGGCAAAAACACAGGTCAAGCTATGGCTAGAGCAGAATTAATTTTTCAGGTCAATGACCTTTCATCAAAACTGGAAAATGATTTGTAAAAAACCTACTAAGTTTATAAAAAGTGACAAGGGGATAGTCGGAAAAAAGTACAAAGAGGATAACTGTGACAGCATGGAGACAGGACAGAATCAATGACAAAAGGGTTAATGGTGCAATACCAAAAGGAGCAGAAATGGGACAACAAAGATGTGTCTGGAAAAATTAACTTCCCTATCATCCATTCCAAACAAGTTAACACACGAATCATAAGACTAGTACAGCTCTCTCCCAGTTAAGCAATAGGATTACTGCCAATTGATAACCCCGCTGTTAGGCAGAATTAATGCAAATAGGTCCAAATTTCACTTTATAGATACCATCCCAGTTTTTGATCCTGCTTCTATCATCCTATTCCAATAGATGCCTTGCTGGTCCTTCCCTTTAAGCAAGCTTGCATCCAGCCCTAGCTCTCCAACTATTCTCTTACCTTGGCACATTATACCTGTTTCCACACTGTAGGGATTCTATGATATACCAGTTCTTCAACAATCCAAATCAGCAGTAATTTTGAAAGCAGAAATAAAAGAAAAAATGACCCTACAATCTCAGATGCATTCACACTTCAGCTAACATTTCCTTAAATCTCTATCCATATAATCCTTTCATTTCTCGTAGATAAGAGCCTTGATCAAGGTCTTTATAGGGAGAAATGAAATAGACCACACAATCAGAGAAAAAATGTGTCAGAATGCAGGTAACGGGAATGCACAGTCTCTTTGTTTGGAGGATTTGTGGGGTGGGGTGGGGTGGGGGTGGGTGAAGAAGGAAAGAAATTCAGAGTGAAAGACACAAAAATAGAAAGACAAAAAATAACTGGTGAATTTAAAAAATTTCTGAATTTTGTCTATGATCATAGAGATCCACCAAAACATACTGAGAGAGCACTTGAAACTAAAGTTTTTAAATAGGCCTTAGGGAATAGCAACTTTACTTTCCCACTCACCTCCAAGTGGACCCTTATTCCCAGGCCATTCATTTTACATATAAAACAATGCATTCCTGATGCAGCAAGTTAACACATTTTCTTTTATTAGAATTTACAAAAATAACTGAATAAGCAGTTCAACCAGCATAAGTCAACTGCAAAACTCAGTTTATAGCTATAAACTATCTGAACAATTATATAAAAAATTGTTTTGTTGTTGGCCTCATTTTTAGACCACTGATTGGTCCACACACATCACATGACATTAAAAAAAAGTTACCCGGAAGGCTAATCTAAAGGAAATGAACAGTGAAGTACTGAGATACTTCAAAAACAAAACAAATCAACTGATAACCTTGTATCAGGTGTTAAAGTGCAAATTTCAACTATTTAAAATTGAACTCTCTACAGCACAGGAGAAAATTTCTTGTAGTTTATTCCTGCTAGGATTTTAAAAAAAAGAGACGCTGCTTCCAGAACCAATCAGGACAAATGTGCAAATATTTCTTCCAGCCGAAGAGCCAAATGTGATGCAGCACTCAATTCTCCAACATGTGACATCCCTTTCAGGGACAGGTTATAGAGTCATACAGCATGGAAACAGACCCTTCGGTCCAACCAGTCCATGCCAAACATAATCCCAAATTAAACTAGTCCCATCTGCCTGCTCCTGGCCCATATTCCTCCAAACCTTTCCTATTCATTACTGATCTAAGTGTCTTTTTCAACGTTGTAACTGTGCCTGCATCCACCACTTCCTCTGAGTGGGAAAAGGATGGCAGATGGAATATAATGTGATAAAATGTGAGGTTATGTACTTTGACAGAGTCAAAGAACACAGAAACAGGCCCCTTAATCCAACTAGTCCACACCGACCCTGCTTCCAAACTAAACCAATCCCACTTGCCTGCATTTGGCCCATATCCATCCAAATCTTTCCTGTTCATGTACTTATCCAAATGTCTTTTAAACGTTGCAACTGTATTTGTATCCACACATCCTCTGGCAGTTCATTCCACACACTAACCACCCTGTGTGTAAAAAGTTATCCCTCATGTCCTTTGTAAAACTTTCTCTTTTCACTTTAAAAATATGCTCCTTTGTTTTGAATGCCCCCTCCCTATTCACCTCATTTATGCCCCTCATGATTTTATAAACCTCTCTAAAGTCACCCATCAACCTCCCAATGGAAAAAAAGTCCCAGTCTATTGGGCCTATTTTTAATAATTCAAACACTCCATTCCCAGCAACATCCTGGTAAATCTTTTATGAACCCTCTCCAATTTAATAATATCCTTCCTAAAACAGGGTGACCAGAACTGCCCACAGTACTCCA